TCTCTCTCTCTCTCTCTCTCTCTCTCTCTCTCTCCCTTCAGTCTCTTCTGCTCCGCTCTCTGAATCTACAAAATGCAGATGAGAAAATCTCTGAATCTACAAAATGCAGATGAGAAGAGAAGAAAAGTAGACATATATACTGCAAATGACGCATGTAATCACGAGTGAAATAAGATTATCACTGAAATAACTCCACTAATCTTATCATGAGATATCCCTTTCGGGCGCTGTGAACTCGGAGAGATCTGAGATATAATTTTTTGGGTAAACTGGGAAGTCGTCCCTTGAGGCATATCAAGGAGGCAAGCTGTGAAAGATATCCGAAGTCTTAAATGCCACTTTGAATCACTCACCCTCGAAGTTCATCGGCTTGAACGGAATTAGTGCCAGATCGATACCGAGATCTCGATCTCTGCGCAGATGTCCTGGGTCGGTACCGGTTCCTTACAGCGTCTGTGGTTGGTATCAACACAAGAACTGTCAATGTTATCGTCACCATCATCACCACTCCCTTTGACGACGACAACAGCGTCGTAAGGTTGTTACACCACGCCATTATAGTGTTCAGTAGATTCGAGACGTCTACAGTTCGAAATATCCTTGAAGTCGATTAATCAAACCCGACTTTTCGGGTTATTGATGTATCAGCGTAATAGGACTCCTTTTCGTGGTACAGAGATAAACAGCATCAAACACACCATCAATCACTATTGTTGTGTGAATGTTGAACTCAGCAAAAATATCATATCACATTGTTGCAGAAAACGATTCACTTAATCAGGGGGAAAAAAGCCCAAACGGAGCAAACTAACACTATATAAAACAGACGTAACTTTTGCTCCCAGGAGATATCGAGGGATCCAAGCTTGATGAGAGAGACACAACCCCCTAACAAGCTTTCCACATTCAATTGTTCACATGAAGAAAGTGGCGTTCATCGTGCGTAGAGCATGGCCCTCCTCACCAGGCTAAACCATGTTCACTGTGACAAGGAACACACAAGCCGCCTCTTTTTAAAAGCAGCATTCCCTCGTGGCACCGCCACTAGATCTATCTCGGCTTCTTCAAAACGACAGAGTAGAAGCACAAAGCCGGTGACATCAGCGTGGCTGGGTGTTAACCCTCGCTAAGCTATCCACAAAACCAAGACAAAAAAAACCCTCCGGGATGTCTCAGATCCCCCACCATACATAATATCCCCCCTTCCTCCTCCTCCTCTTCCCCCGTTCGCCCTGCCTGCCGTTTTCCCAGGCTGCCCCGTCAGTGGAGCGAACGGCAAACCCAGACGCTGAGTCTCTTGAATCTCAAATGTAGGTAAGAAAGAAAGGATACCAAGCAACAAATTCTTTGGCTCTCCTATATTGTACATCAGCGCAAACCATGCGATTTGCTTTGTTTTAGATCTATTTCTTACTGCTTTCAAACCTCAATAAATACTGCAGGATTTTTTTATATAAAAAAAAATAATTATGGTTCAGTCTAAACGTTCTTTGTTTATTTCTTTTCAGGCTTTTTTCTTTTTGGAAAACCTGAATTTTACTGTTTCTCTGCAAATTGTCCTTTCTTTTCTTTTCTATTCTGAACTTTTGAAGTTGGGTAATTTCCTTTACCACTCTAGTTTCCTTGGGGTTTTTTTTTATTTTTTTGGTTGTTTTTTTGTTGTTGTTTTTTTTTTTACTTTTTGTTTGTTTGGTTTGGGGGGGGGGGGGGGGGTT